GGCAGCTCCCAGTCCCGGGGAGAGCCAGACATCCTGACCATGGCCTCTGTGCAAGCACAGTGGCTCTGATGGTGCAGGGCACGGTCGCCCTCATGTCGCGAGGAGGGGGGAGGCAGGCATCATCTACTGTGTCCCCAGGGAGAACTGACCACTTCTCTTCTTTCTCTACAGCTGCACCAGCTGCTTGTGCAGGGCGCACCACCCCACCCGGGACATGCTTCCGCACCCGTGGCCTGCTCCGGACCACCACCATGTGGCAGGAGTACTGGGACCAGCACCTGGGGGCCCTGCACCACACCGTCGAGGCCTTGATGCAGGAAGACCTGCAGATCCACGGGGAGCAGCTGTCTGAGGACAGAGCCAGAAACACTAACCTACAGGCCCTGCTGCAGAGCATGGTGCCCTGTGCCGGTCCTGCACCTGCTGCCCCCCTAACAACTGTCCCTCCTCCCACTCCTTCCTCCCCAACCTCTTCCTCCTCAAATCTCCACACCCTCCTCCTCAATGTCCACACCCCCCACCTCAACCTCTGCACCCTCCACCCCATCTCTCCGGGGATGACGAGGCCCCCTCCCTCACTGTGCTGGGAGTTGGTTGGCATGGCGAGACCCTCACCCCTGATCCCTGAGTTTCCCCTCTTCCTTCTTCCCCTAGCTTCCCCCTTCCAGCTCCCTCCTGCCAGTTTTCCTCCTCCCCTCTCCCACCCTCTCTTCTGCCCTCTCCTGCCTCCTTTCCCCTGCCTTCCCGCAGTTTCATTCCCCCTCCCCAGTTGTGTTGAATAAAGAGAGTTGTTATTTTTGAAAATACGTGTCTTTTATTTGACATTAGGAAGGGGGGGCTAGGGAAGTGGAAGGACGAGAGGTAGGAATGGGGCACAAGCCTCCAATGGGGCAGACCGGGGAGACTGTTAGTGCTCCTCAGGGTGGAGGCTCTCCCACAGGGCCCCCTGGATCCTGACATCCCCTCGATGGTCCTCCCGGATGGCAGCCTGCAGACAGTGCAGCCAGGCTGCTGGCAACATGTCCATGAGACGCAGCAGAGTTCCATGGGGCAGGTCTGGTTCCATGTTGCAGAGTGCCGTGGTGCCCCGAGTGAGGGCAACCAGAGCACGTAGAGACAAAATGCTTTGCTGTCCCTCAGCGAGGTAGGCCAGCAAGCAGAGAAACCTGAGAACTGTCTGTCTGAGATGGGGGAGTTGGGTCCCTTTAAGCACAGCCCTCGGCTAGCCTGAGGCAGCAGCCCCACACACTAAGTCCGACCCTGATGCCCTTTTGGCACTGCTTCCGGCCAGCCTTACCTTTGATTCAGGGTCCACTCAATGTGGACGTGATATTTCGAATTAGCAAAACGCTAATTCAAATTAGTTTTTCGGTCTAGATATACTAATTTGAATTACCTTATTTTGAATTTACTAATTCAAATTAAGTTAGTTCGAATTAGTGCTGTAGTGTAAACATACCCTAAGGTGCCACAGAACTCCTACTTGTTTTTACTGTAAAATATATTAATCTAATTTCTCATGTCTCTGTATCTCACTGATGCTTCCAGCCACGGGGCCTTGTTCTGCTTTTGCTAGAATAAAAAGCTTTCTGCTATCAGAAATCTCTTCCCACACAGGCTCTTGTCTACAGTACAAGGTTTTTGCAGCAGAGTGTATGCTAATGATGGACTCATCAGCATGAGTCATGATGTCATTAGAATATTTTCTGCAAATGCTTTTTGCGCAAGGGGTTTTTACGTAAAAAGAAGCAGTGTAGCCACTTCTGTTTTGTGCAACTGTGCCCCCCCCTTTGCACAAGATCCTTATGTCTCTCCAGAGGCATAACCTCCTTGTAGTGTAGACATAGCCTCATAGACCAGGAGCGGGGAATCAAATTGGGGTGAGAGTCACTAACCAACAGAATAATCAGTCGGGGACTGTACACAAGTGAGAAGCAACAAAAAACCCACAAAACCTTCACTGATGTTCCCCCTGACTGAGAAGGAGAAAGACACTCCCCACATTCCCCTTGCACACCAGCGTCTAGGGGAGCCTAGACTACTAGATTTTGTGTGCGCCGGCCCTTTGGGGCAGTTGCAGGGGACTAGCACATCAATGCAGGCTTCCCAATGCAAGAGGAGGTTGGATCCAGACAAACAATGGATCATATCCATCCCCCAGGGCCTCATCCCTGTTATAGACCGTGATTAAGCCACCTCTTAAGCTTCATCTTGATAAATTAAATAGATTGGGCATTTAGTTCTTTTCTGACTCCTTTCCAATTTTTCAGCATATGTCTTGAAGTGTGGCTACCAGAACTGCACACTCTATCCAGTAACCAACCAAACAGACCAAAGGGTTTTGCTATTCAGCAACCTGCAGCTTTTTTTTTCCTCTGCAGTTTCTGTCCCTTTTGTTTGTTTGTTTTGGGTTTTTTTTCATTTTTAATGAAAAGTCAACATTTTCCAAAGGGTGTAGAAATCTGACCCACTTTATCACGATGCAAAGAGTGATTGGACATATTGATGGATAAAAAGATCTATCATTTATAATAGTTAATGATAAATCACAGCATATGGGAAAGATATTATAGGTTGGGCTTCAAGGTTTAAACCAACCTCTAAGTACCTGGGTTCAGGTTCCCGCATCAGTGTTTATTGCAAGGGGTCTTACACCTTCCTCTCAAGTATTTGGTGCTGACCACAATTTGCAGTTAATGAACCTCAGTTCTGATCCATTTTCATGATTTCCAGTGGGTTTATTTATAGTTTGTGAACCTGTGGAATTCAAGTAGCCAATTAATTCTAGTTAACTACCACAGCTGGAAGGCTAGTCCAGATGCTCCACACACGTTTGTGAATGACCCCAATGCAACCACAGATTCTCCATGTAAACATTTGCAAAGGCATTTTAGCTAACTACAGTTAACTGGTGACCAAGAATTGCAACGGTCCCTAAGTTCTAGCCAGGACACAGTGAAAGAGGGCAGTGCAGTCCCATGCTGTAACAATTGGTACTCTGAATCCAGCAGTTAGACTGTAAACCTCAGGCCAGAAAATTAAGTCAGTATGACCACATACTTGGGGAGAGGGGGGACATGAAAACTCCATACCCCAGCCTGATTTTATTGTTCCCCCTGCACTAGCTGAACACCGCAGACTGGTTTTTGAGGGTGATGGAACAGCTGGGTTTCAGTGACTGTGCAGCCAAATGGAGCTGATGTCTGGCTTTGCACAGGGAAGCTAAGGGTTCAAACACCTTATTAGGCTAAGTCCTGCTAAACAGTGTTTCACTTTTACTCATGCCTGGCCTTTCAGTTCCATTCTCAGAGTGATTGAGAGTCCAGGGCTGGGCTAGACTCCTCTGACAGCCAGCTCCCCACTGTTGCATAGCAAATAGTCACTGCTAAAGCCATGTCTAGGCATGAGAGGAGGGGATGTTGGCTGGGCTCCATTCCTAGCCTTGGGAGGGAGGAGGGTCCAATGGCAGAATGGAGAAGGGCAGGATGCTTGGATTCCTGGGTTCTTTTCCTGGCTTGAGGAGGAGGGGGCAGTGAGACCCAGTGTGTGAGAACAGGGGACCTGGAGCCAGGACTCCTGGGTTTCACGGGGCTGTTCATAAATTACATAATACCTTACAGGGGCAGGAGGGAGTCCATTATGCTGCATGTTTGTTTCAGGGTTACCAAGTGTTCATTGGTCTTGAAAACCACAAAAAAAAGTGTTATGTAATTTATGGACAGCCCCTAACTCTGCTTCAGGGATTTGCAGGGCAGTGGGGTCTGGTCATTAGAGCAGAGGGTCTGGAGTCAGGACTCTTGAGTGTGGGCTCTATGGGCCTGAGGTGCAAGCTCAGAGCTAAGGTCTCTGGCCGGGGGCGAGAAGCATCTGTCCAGGCCCAGAGCCCGGGAGTGCAATGGGAGGGGGCAGCCAGAGCACACAAGAGACTCAGGGTATGTCTACACTACCCCGCTAGTTCGAACTAGCGGGGTAATGTATGCATACCACACTTGCAAATGAAGCCCGGGATTTGAATTTCCCGGGCTTCATTAGCATAAAGCCGGTGCCGCCATTTT